AGCAATTGAAGGAAATAATCAACATCATCTTTATTAGATGTGGGATTTTATCCCTTAAAACGCTGCCGCAAGATGGTTGCTCGTTTGAGCAAACTGAAATCTGTGTGTTCATTTTTTATTTTTTTTTTTAGTTTTAATCGGATTGATTTGCTTGTTTGAGCTTAATGGAATCTAATACCAAGTAAAACTTAAAAATGGAGGATAAACTGTTTGGCATTGCATACAAGGATAATTATATAGAGTTGATTAAAACAAACTTGAGTAACTGATGACTAGTCTCAAGCACATACTGATAACGTGTAACTATACATGAATATTTGAAATAAGAAACTAACTATGCTGACAAATAGAAACTATAGAATCCACTCCTATAATTCTGCAAATCTGTTATGTAGCTGAGAATATTTGTGCAGAGATTCACTCCTAAGTCCTAACGTTACTTTATTATTCAAGAAGCAAGTGTAAACAACACATATTTGATATTTCATATAATTAAACATGGTGGGATAATTGGCCTCACTCTCATTGTTTTAGGAGAAAGAGTAAAAATGGGAAACAATATATTTTGAACTCTTTTTTATACTGAAAACTCAAGACAAAGTGATTAAAAAAAATCCTTGTCAAGTAAAATACAATAGATCATCCTTCAGCGTGAATTTTATGAGGATTCTTAGACTATCGAATCAAACTCAAGGCTCACTGTTGGGAAGCCTGCTCAGAATAGAGTGCTCGGGTTTATGTTCACATTCGAAATCAAGATGAACGAATGCTCGTTCGACTTCAGGAAGTTTCTCAATCTTTATCTGTAGTGTCTCTCCAATTGTATGAGCTTCGTTTAAGGGCAAATCTATTGGGAGTTCAATATCAACCTAATTTGGAAGTGCAGAAAACATGAACTACATTAAGAAACCACACCATTTGTGTATGTAGAAATAGTGTTACTAGCTATGAAGAAAGTTGATATAACAAACCTCGACAAAATATAGAACGCCAAACGTGTATGCGCGAACAGTGTCAACGCGCCTGACTTGTGGGTGTCTGATCACAAGATATGTCAGTTTCTGCAATACTTCAGGAGGTGCAGATTGTCCCACTAGTGACACTGAATCAAAGAAGAAAAATCTTAAGTACTAGAGAACTACCCGAAGATTACAAATTCAACTTAAGAAGTACTAAAAATTAAAGATCTTCGGGATAAATTGTGTACTTTGTTTGATATGTGGGTAGTATTTGAAAGTTTTTCATTCAAAAAAAATACTGTATGCAATATCTTTCTTATCCGGCCTAAACCCACCTCCTCACTCCATCTTATATAATCCAGATATCTCCTAACTCCATCATAATACTACCTGTATAGTATATCTACTGTAATTTATATTTAATTCCTTATACGAGTGGGTTTTTGTTGGTTTCCCATGTTCATCAAAAGGAAATTATTAGAGTAGCAGAAATAAAGAGAGAATCATTCACGTGAGTATGAATTAGTTTGACTTAAAATGAGGCACATTAGAACATCATTCTATCTCTCATGCTCGATTATTAGAACATGGGTGGATCTTCTCAATATTATTTATAAAGACTTCAAGTTCAAAGGAACCAAGATAAAGGTAGAACTAAGTACCTGCATTTTCTAGAACAGTTCCCGACCAGTTTGAAATCGTATAAATTGCAAGGATAAGGGCTCCAGCAGGGTCAAGCCACCAGAAGAACTTGTCACCTAGAACTGCGGCAACTAATCCTACCACATTAGTTACCACATCGAAATAATGGTCCTGAAAAGTAGTGCTAAATAAAGTTAGGCAAACAGGTAACCCAAATAAGTGTTTTACAACATAGATAGCAAGATACCTTTGCGTAGGCTCGAACAATCTTATTTCCAGAGCTTCTGCAGTAATTCCACAGGACAAGTTTTACGACTGTGGCAGTTATCATGATTGCATACAACCATACAAGCTGTTCAGTGGTCATCTTTGCAGGAGGTTTATTTTCGACTAGTTGTTCTATAGCCTGAACCAGTACCTGAAAGCCTAAATATCGCAGCTGTTTAGATTTGACTTTTAGATCAGACTGAAGACACGAGGATTTTTAGTGTACAATATGCCTATCAACACTGTGTGGAGCCTCATCGTACTCTGCAAATTTTCACCTCGACTGTGAAAAAGATTAAGTACAGTGACGTACCTAGTGTAGCCATTATAGCAGCAAAAACGACGATGCCTACTGGCTGCACCCGCAATTTCCCAATCGGATATTTATAAATGTCAATGTTTTTCATTGAGAGGTGGGTGAACCAAAGTATTCCTCCAGCCATGAGATCAAGTAAGGAATCCAGGGTTGATGCAGCAATGGCAAGTGATCCACTCTTTACTGTCGCAAATATCTGTAGATTGCAAAACATATGTTGTCATCAACAGGAAAGTGTAATCAACATGAATCTTCATCAAGCCGATACTTCATGATGGACAATGTTGAGATCTATTATCACTTCAACAAGAAAGCTCAGGGTCTATATGTTATTTCAAATACCATTGACAAGTCGTATAATACAAGAAATAACACATCACCTTAAAAGCCAGCAGTAAAATATTTGCATAATTAGAAATTTTCATTGCTCTCTCGTGTTGTGCTTGTTCTTCTAGATCTTCCTCATATACAGAGTCAGATGCCACGAAGGAATCGACTTCCTCGAATGATTTCAAGGTTGCAAACTGTTTGTCATAATATTCCTTTTCTCCTATACACAAAATTCTCAGGTAAGGAGAAAGACATGAAAGAAGAAACAGAAGGATCACAAGCAAAATATTTGCGGTGAGATGACTTTTCGACCTATAGCATAAACAAACAGTTCGTTAAATATGAGACTTGAAACCTATTAAAGAAAGAGATCATACAGAAAATCACAAAAAATGAATAAAATTATCATTACAAATTCAAATTGCAACCAAAATTATTACCATGGATAGACACCATAGATTAATTTATGCATATTGCTCTTATATATATTCAATTAACTACAATTTGAGTTCGAGGTTATGCAAATATCCTTCACAAAAGCCTAATAATATTTCCATTATAACTGGCACCCTTTGTTACAATTACGTTAATTTGAGATGTACTTTCAAAATTCTAATCTTTCTATGTACGTTGTAATCTACATTTACTCCAATTAAGCCTTGAGTCCCCTTACAAAGCTCGATGTACTCTGTTTTTAATTAACAAAAAGGGGTTTGTGCAAAACTCCCACCCTAAAAATTACTTATTTTGAATGTTAAGGATTAAAAAACAAAGTTAACTACGAACCTTTGGTTAAACCCATAGTTCTAGAGAGATCAAAGAGAGAGGAGGACTCAGGGTCAACTCCTGACCGGACCTTATCGGGCAGCCTGGAGATAAATTCATTGCGAAGCGAGTTGACTGAGTTCCGGCGACTGAGTCTACGGCTAAGCCGCCCACTCCCTCTTAACTTCCACCCTTCCAGCAGCGGCGATAATCCTAGTAGTGAGAGCAATAAATCAGCATTTCTAATCTCTCCCTCCATTGTAATTCACTTGAAAAGGCTCTGTTTTACTGTGTGCCGCCATGCATTTATAGAGTGCATTATTAAAGTTAAATGTCTTTTTAATATACATTTATGTTAGCTAACTTTTAGTTAAAAAGTCAAATTGCCGCGGAACAAAAAACCCAATCAACAATCCTGTTGGCTTCTTTAGAGCCTGTATATAATAAGGATCGTGTTATTCGTACATGGAGGTTTACACTCCCATTTACTCGGGTCCACCTGCCCCCCTCACAATGGGGGGGGGTCACGATTATTTTATTCATCGTGGGCCCTCCCCTCATGTGAGGAGAGTGTAAACGAGAGTGTAAAACCCTGTGTATGAATGGTTTTACCAATATAATAAATTGCATATAATATTAAAGCAAAAGAAAAGAATTAAGCAAAATTTGAGAACATGAGACGGCAAAGACTTGTTGTTGACCGTTTGAAAAGACACAAGTAAACTGGATGGTGATCAAGTAATATAGTAGTGTGTAAAGTGTTGAACTCACAAGAATTATGTGTTTTATCGAGTTAAAGTTAACAATACCCTTAATCGAACAACAATAATAATTTATAATAAATCTATGTCTAATTTATCTCTACTCTAAATCAAAATCAAAATTTATCAAATTTTTGAGATATATTGCTAAGATGTAGAATCCCTTATAAATCCATTTTTAGTATAACAATTAAAATAACTTTTTGTTATCATGCAAGTTGATCGAAGTTTCAAATTTATTTAGACACTTCTCTCGATAGCAATTAAATCTAATATTATATGTGACATTTTTATATCTCTATAAAAGATGCCAACATGTAAGAAAACATTAAACGAACTAGAATATAAAAAAATCATGTGAAGCATAAATGTATATCACTATCCTCTATCGAACTTCACAATACTTATTACTACGTGTTAACGATCATATTATCTCTCTCGATGACAATAAAATCCACAAACAATTCAATTAATAGCCAATTAATTGAAAATCATACTAAACCATAATAAACATTCAAACAAATTAATGTCAAATTAATTAATTAATACTAAACATTTCAAAACAAGGGTTCATCTATATCTTTATCAATTTAAAAATCTAGCTTAGCATAATATTGAAATTAAATACGCAAAAGTGGAACGACATTATCGAAAATTGATCAAATTAATTGAAGATGCCTTTGTTCTTCAATTCCCAACCTCTGTTTACATGGATATATATATATTAGGTTTAAGCAACGTGCAATGCACGTTTGTTTAGTTTATATATAATTTTTTTGGTTAAGAAATAAATTTTTATTAATAAAGATGTAATTTTTTTGGTTAATTAAATAACTAATGATGTAATGTTTATGTAATTGATAAATAATTGAACATTGTGATATATTAAAAAAAGAGCATTAATNTTAGGATCATCACTCTCGTTATTTAAAGCATTTCTACTCTCTCCCTCCATTGTAATTCGCTTGAAAAGGCTCTGTTTTACTGTGTACTGCCATGCATTTATAGAGTGCATTATTAATAAATGTCTTTTTAATATACATTTATGTTACCTAATTTTTTTGTTTATTAGTTAAAAAGTCAAATTGCTACGAAACACGCCTTCTGGGACCAATAAAAAACCCAATCAACAATCCTGCTGGCTTCTTTAGAGCCTGTATATAATAAACTGCTTATAATATTAAAGCAAAAGAAAAGAATTAAGCAAAGTTTGAGAACATGAGACGGCACAGACTCGTTCTCATAGACATTTGCCGAAGAGCAGACTGGACAATACTGCACAAGAATAAGAAGATAAAATCTTTTTTACTATATTGTCTAGTCGAATCGAGTCTAGTCCAATTGAGCACAATAATTTATATCCAACATTGACATCGCAGGTAGTGGCAAAAAACTCATAAATTGTCCCAGTTCTGCTGAAAACTTATTAAGCCCCTGTTTTATACAAATTAATATCCAAATTTTTATCAAAGTCAAAATCAACAATTGATTTTAACAATTGATTTTAACCATATATTTCATGAGACTCACAAATTTTCAACAACACAATTTATTAACATATATCAAAATCTTCTAAAATATTAATTTTAATCTCCACCAAATAGATAAGTATATAAAGTTCAAACAGTTAGAGAGTATCCCACGTGTTATACATTTTATACAGTTGATTTATACACAAATTAAAAAAGTATCCTTCCTGATCATAAGAAATTTGAAAGACACATGCAAATAGAGTTTCTACAAAGAAAGGCAAAAAATAAAGAGTGAATCAGGGGAATCACTTACAGCCACCATATATGTGTTGCGCTGGCAGCACCATACAGTGCAACACTTGTATGGTACCATTTTTCCCCTTTTTGTTATCGGCGAATGAAAAAATGCCAACTGTTCGCCCTGTAAAAACCGTGTGAACCCACCCTATAAACATAGCAAGGCTCAAAAATAAACTACCCCATGATAGCGATTCACGAATACACGTTCCAAAATATTTACGTTCTAGTTGATGCCTATCTTCTCATACCTCTCTCATATATACAATACACACACACAAATACACGTTCCAAAGTTGATGTGATTCATGATACAAAGGCAAGTTCGAGTAAGGATCCATTAATCGTTGAGGGTGGATTGATGACTAGGTCGCGGGCGAAGAGAGTCAAGAAGACCGGGATATTTTTTTTTTTAGTATTTAGAAATAAATGTTGCGATTTCAAACATGTAAACATTTCAATGAAATACAAAGAATAAATAGAAAACAATGAATACACTGACTAATGATTTGGGATTTGGCCACAAATTTAGGTGTGATTCTGATAAAGCATATGAAAGCACTTTCAAAATATATATACTGGATTACATCTTTGTGCCAACAATTCCGTTCAAAACATTAATGGTGATGGGGGCCCTGGCCATCGAGCAGCTCTCTTCTTAAAATTTCATTCTTTGGTTCCATAATCACCATCGATGGTGCAGAATGTCGTGTTTGCTTGTTCTTCCTGGACCTCATTTTTGGACAACGATTTGGGGTTTCCATAAGATATAGTTTGGTCTGTGATTTGGAGTACTTTGTCCGTAGAACAAGCAAGAGCTAGAAAATGCTGCTTAATAGTCTATCGTCTGATCTTCTTCAATAGATCTTAAAAGATACAGATTCAGAAGGAACACATAATTTGCAAGTTTCATTTTGGGGATGAAAATCAAATTCGCAATGGGAGTGGATTGAATGAGGATTCTTCGTACTTGATTTAGTAGGATTATACGGACTCGAAACAGAGCTTCGTTGTAGGTCTAGGAGGCTATGAGATTGCTTGCTCAAGTTATGGTGGATGAAAGATTGATTACAACAAGCAAATGAACGAGTTTCATGTTTGGCATGGAAGTTGAAACGAAGTGGAACAACTTGATCCAAGCGATGGACGGAGAAACTGGAGAGGCCGCATAGTTGTGGTCGCATGTCCCTTTATCGAAGCCAAGGAGTATAAATTTATTGGGTCTATGCGACCGTATAGACTTATGCTATGCGGCCACATAGTTGATTCCTGACCGCAAATTTTTTAAATTTCGCGTAATCTTCTATAGTTCTATTTTAGTTAAAACCCTATTTTGTGACTTGGCTTAATTCAGTTTCTAACTAGGTTTTATAGGTTCCATATAAATATGAATTATTATATTCATTGTAAAAACACACAATTATTGAGAGATTATTGCAAGACATTATCGCTTTCTCTTATTCTTCATCCAATTAATTCTGAACTTATCAAGATTATTTTCTTAAATTATTCTTTTGACTTGGAGAATATATGTAGAATTCATTGGCATTGGAGTTCGCAATCATTAAAATGGAACACTATAATCAGACTAATAATCTTAAATTATTCTTCAAAATGTAATGCTCCTCTGACTATATTTTGTAATAAAAAGCAATTGGTCGTTGAAGAAAATCTGTGTTTTGATCAGCCCCTTGTTCCTCCCCTCCCCTTCGCAGCAGCGTCACAGTGACACTG